ACTGAACAATTGGTTAATAACAATTGGTTAGTCATATTTGAGCTGATGAGCTGAAATTAGCTGGCATCACATGTGTTTAAGGCTGTCATCTTTTCAGGGCTGTGTGTTCCTGCCTTGGTCTTAAATTAAATGATCCATTAACTTTTTCATGACTGAAGGGTGGAAATGGTGCCTCTCTGGACTGTGAGAAGGCCTGACCCAGCAGCATTTGGGCTCAGCATTTGCCATCAGCGGTCCGTCTGTCCTTCCTCTCCTTTCCACTTCACTTTGCAACCCTGGCCTATGTTTCTTATGCCTTTCTCCGTTTGTTTCGCTGGCAAGCTTTTTGGGGTGAAATTTCAGGAATGTCCACTGATAACTGCCTCTCGGACAATCCTGGCCTTTACTTTTTTTTTCTTGACTGCAGAACATTTATCAATCTTGTGGGCTTGCTGTCTGGATCACATAAGTTAATTGTGATTTTCAAACCTGCTTAACGTATGCTGTAATAGCAATAAATCCTTATTGTTAGTTGGTGGAGTCTTTTCTGTTGTAAATCGTGCTCATCTAGATTTCATTAACCGCATATCTGTTTACCTCCTGCTATGAAAAGAATAAATGAAAGTTTCATCAGCACTGTTCCTCAGAAAAAAGCTTTTTTCTTTCACGTTTCAGCGCTCAATATGGAACTGAAACACACATGCTCCAGCACATCTGACCAGTACGATTCCTCTTTCTGCAAATGCTGTGCTATTGAGGGTACTTTTTATGGACTTTAGGGCAAACGCTGCATAGAGTCAGATTCTGTGATTGGCTCCTTCTTCATTTTTGCTTGTTACAGCAAGAACTAGATCTGAAATGTTACTATGCATATTTATTTACACCATGATGAAGCGGTACAATCAGCTTTTCATGAAAAGGTCCTGAAATGTACCCCATACTGCAGATCTGTCCTCGGGGATATATTGTCCCGATTGAGCATTGCTCTGCCCCTGCCCATGCTGGGGGTGCTGTAATCATCTGCCCTCTGTGGGTATACCCCAGGTGAACGAGAAGCATCTTGGGGCCTCTGTGTGGATCTGCACAGGTCTCTTGAGTTTTCTAAACTTGTCCTGTTAACATTAAAAGGATGTTATTTGCACTTTGGGGAAGTTAATTGCACTGTTTTTGATACCCCTCTCTCCATACAGTGTGTACACAGGATTGTTACACTATTAAATTTGATATCCAAAATGCATTTAGAAGTATGAATGAATATGAAAGGTGCCAAATAGTGTGCATTTAAAAGATTTTAGATTTGTATCTTAAACCCTTTAGCAGACAGAGGTTTCTGTTTATGTATTTATTTACTTAGGTCTGACATTCGTGAAAATCACCTGTGTTTCCCTAGAGTGGGCAGTTCCAGAGCCTTTCTTTGCTTTATGGGAGCCTGGAAACATTTTTCATCTCTGGACTCCCTGGCCACAATAAAGGGCCTTTCTTTCAAGCTGAAGACAGACTGAACACTCTTCTAAATGTTAGCTTTATTCAGATGCCGAACCTCTCAGCTAATCTCCATCCTATCCAAGAAACTGTATACGATTCCATTCCCTCCATTTATCCTTAATGAACAAATACCCAGATGCATCACATCTACAGGATGATGGGTCAGGTGTTTGGGCTTCACTTGCAGGATCCAAAGGTCTATGGCTCAGGTGAATCTCTGGTTATGAGCTGCTCTCATGTCCATATGTGAGTTACATAAGTGCTATCCTTCCTTATGCTTATCTATTTGTATAAGTAATTCTCACTTGGTAAAAGTTCTGGGTGTGCACTGTACATTTTAATGCACATTTGTTTACTGTTTTAGCTGTTTGCCTAACAGCTGAATTCCGTCCCTGTGTGCCTTTAATAAGCTAGAACAGTCCCTCGGTACTATATGCATTCAAGCTGTGCTTGTAGAGGAAAACAGTCTTGTGTGTTTATACTTTCTAACAAATCCAGCCTCGTTAAACCTTTTTGTCTGACCCCAGCCGTGAATGCATTGGTTGAATGGCTACGTCTTGCTCTTGCTGTTTGTGGGGCATTGTGCAGAGCCGAGGGCAGGTCGGGCATGTGGGAACCTGCTCCTGAGGTTTGGGTGTACTGCAGGAATGCTCAGTCCTGCTCCAAGGCGTACCTGCTGTTCCCGCCCATGCTCTGAACACAGGGCGGCTGCCAATGACCCCTTTCTCATCCAAGTGGGCAACCCCTCTCCCACAGGGCTGCACCCCCTGTGGTCACATGAAATAGGAAACCCTCAGCTCATCCTAATTTTAATCTCAGTAGGGGACATTCCCTCCTGCGGACGTGCAGAATATCCACGGGGGTTTATGGTTGGGGGGGTGGGTCGGCATTGTGGGGTATGCCCTTGTCATATGCAATTTTTTTATTATTATTTTAAAAGATTCTTTACTTTTAACATTTCTATCTGTGGTGGATATGTATATATTAAGCTTATCTACCGTGCTGTTTTTTGTTATCTTTGCAGAATCTGGAGGAGTAGACAGTAAGAATTTCATCGGTTAGAAAACTGCACATTGCTTGAATCTTGAATTGTAACAACAGCAATACATTGGGGGGTGGTCTATATGTAATTGTTGAATCCTCTGGTCATTCTGTGCCTGCAGGGTTCTGGAAGTCACCATTTTGTCCCGAAAGCATTTTTTAGTTTATTACAACTGTACAGTAGGAGTTCTGCTTCAGTTTTGGACAGGAGGCTGAGGCCCTAGTGGTTCAGCCTGGTGTGTAGACTATTGCCTAGTACAGGCTTCCTGTCCAAAGCGGCCTGACATGATGCCGACGCAGTGCCTGCATGGCCTGCATTTAACGGGAGAAGCTCACGGAGTAGCGGCCTCTCGATCCGGGAAAGCACAGAACCCGCAGTGGTTCACAGGCATTCATGCCCCGCCACAGGCTATCCCAAGTATGTGGTGCTGGTGTCAGTTGTTGGTTTGAGGGACTTTCTTTACCTTTTTATGTACTCACCTCCTTTTAGGAGGTTTTAGGGACCTCCCAGGGGACCGAAAAAATGAGGAAGTGAGACCTGCTGACGTCCAAAGTTGCATATAGAGAAAGAGCCCTTAGATAAAGCCCAGCTGCAGTGAGATCTACCCACAGACGTTCAGCAGTGTCCCTGCCGCTTTCGTTCTTTATATGTCATCTAGCATTTTTTATTTGTTTTAGCCTCCTTTAATAAATCCATAACAATGCACAAGCAGGCTTGAGCCCTCCCATAGAGCTGGGGATAGGTTTAGCATTCGTTCATTGTCTCTAACAGTGGTATGAAGCCACAGTGGAGTCAGGTGAAAGTATGATCTGGCACCAAGCAGCAATCATAGTGCTGAGGGCAGATGCAGTTTTCATCACTACACCCCTTTTCTGGGATATGATCATAAATTTTTTGCCGTATAGCTACATCACCAACCAATACTTGGATGTTACTCAATAACAGAAGCCATTCAGTCGGGGGAATCACGATGAGGCATATTGCTGATTTGTAAAGCTGGTTTGTGGCTTCTGTTTTGGAAAACATGTTTTAACACATTTACTGTAGTTTGCCTAAATATGGAGTTGTAACTTCAGCAAACGTGCCTTCCTCATCCATTATGCAAGTTGGATCGAGCTATCCTTCCTGCCTATGGCAATAGTTAATTCTCTTGATGTTTAAAGTGGCTTTAAATTAAAATAACTAACAATGGCATGTAAAATGCGTGGTGAAGGTGGCTGTCACCAGTGACTGCCCTGCAGCATGCCGGTCTCTTCCTCTGCATCTGTTTATTAGTTTTCATACTTCCTTATTAAAGCATACAGGAGCTGTCCTGCTATTTAGTGGGCCTGTCATAACTCGATATTTTGACCGTAGTGTATTTAGTTGCATGTAATTTTTACAAACCAAGTTTAATAATTGAACTTTGAAGAAAAAACATTACTACGTCATGGCACTTTCACCAATACCATAAAGATGTATATGATATCCTTCTTTGTAAAATGGCCTGAAATGCAGCATTACTCCATAGAAGATCTCTGCTTCCTCGCCGTTTTGAGGCGCTCCGCGTAAGATAAGGGACTGTTTTGCAATCATAACGTGTTTTCTTAACTCGCTACGTCTTTAGCTGACTGTGACATGCACTGGAGTACATGACCGCGTATTTGCAGCTTCCGCCGTGCAGTGTTTCTGCAATGGTACATGAAAAAGAAGAATGCTGATCCTTATTTTTCCTTAGAATGTCGCCAAGTGCTTTGATTTCGACGTTTTAGTGGGGAGCATCGCTGCTTCGTGTCGTTATTCTTCACCATATGAGAAGACCGGGATCGCGGTGTTTCATTCCATACACTTAACGGCTTTCTTCCTGATTAGCGCCATGGTACAGGATGCAAACAATTTTGTTTTTTGACAATACGTCGTTTTTCGATAACGTATTAATGGATGTCGCCAGTTAGAGATTAGATTAGACCGAAACAACCATAAAATGTGATCAATCTGCATGTGATACCTGCAGCTCCGTCTCCTAAAGCGTTAAATATTTCGGCTACATGGCGCAAACAAACGGGCGTTTTTTACGCATAAATCTGCCCGCCGTAACAACCGCCCCCAGCTTCAAAGCGTGAGCGCCGGAGGCCCCTCGGTTAGACTCGGTATTGCTCGGCTAGGCTCGGCCGCGCACGGCACAGTCACGTAGAGCACGCTGTTCTGCCTTCCCCGGGTACAGGGGGTGGGTCCGTCGCCTTTGAATGGCAAACTCCTTGAATAGTGAAGGCTTAATTCTGTGTCGAGTCGCACGTTTTCATTCGAGTGTGCTTACAAATATTTTGCAAGGGAGCGACCGCGGGACCTGCACAAGTACCGGCAAGGTAGTCAGCCTCTTCCCTGGTCGGGACCGCTGCAGTAGGACCGGCACCGCGTTTAAGTGATCACCACTTTGTACATAATATAGTACTGCTTCGGTGCTATGTACAACTCCTGTATTTCGTGGAGTAAGTGGCATGCTCTTACCATATTGTTCGTGAAAAGTTTCTGTAGTTATTTTCCCGAAATGGCATTTATAAACGCGTGTCTCGCTGTCAAAGTAACTCGGACGTAAATCGCGGCAGGTTTGTTGTTCTTAAATCGGGGTTGCCAACTTTGGTCACCTGGCTGGAGTGAGATTTTCAATTCGTGATTAGTCTGCACACACATGTATGTACATGTAACATTTTTTAGCTTGTAAATAGCCTGTAGGGCGAGGAACCCCAACGCCTTTGATGTATGTAATTTTAGGTTTATAATGGATAAGTATTCATTTACCGTAAGATTTCTTGAGTCCGAAAGCATGAATGTCACACCAGATGCGTTGGAGTTTAGAACACTACTTAAATGCATCTTAACTTTAACGCAAAGTCAATCTTATTTATGATACTAGGGACATTTTCGCGGTAGTATTTGCATTTTCATGGTCCTGTAGCTGGGCGGTTCCTGCATGTGATGTTTTTAATGCACAAGCGGGCAATAAAGGACGGGATAGTATTTATCGATGGGCATCGGGACGAGGTTTCAGACCCTTTCCGCACTCATCCCAGCAGCCTGCGTGTACAGTATATTGGTGTTCATGTACATTGTGCTTTCGTCATCCCATTAAGCTGCCAGTTTTCCTACTTGCGCGTCGCGAAACGTGGGTTTCCCTGTGCCGTAACTCCGCTGTCAACTTGGCGTTTGGGTGGCTTGATACCGGTAGTGAGCCCAGTAAATACACATTACCATATAGTTAACTAACACCTCCTCTCAGTGAATGGTGCTGACTGATTGGTCTACTTGTCTTTACTACATTAGAAATCGGTCTGATATTGTATAACCCATAACTCAATGTCACAAAATTCTTCTCATTTCAGCGTCACTCCCACACACACACAGACACACATCTGACCCTTGTACTGTGCCTTGAGTTTTCAATCTCAGCAAATAACATATTTTGTGAAACCTATGGGTTTGCCTTGTTCTGGCAAAGCACCTTATGCTCATGACAACGGCTGGTGGTTTGGTTTGCCTGTCAAGTGAATGATTATGTCACCATAATGCCAAACTCCCCGCCAGTGTTGGCCAGTGCAGACCCAACTTGTACGTGACAGCTGTATTTGATGTAAAGTTTATTGATCAAAGTAATTATTTTTGTAAGAGTTTTTATGCAGAGAATCATTTCCATAATGTTCATGTCCCACTCATTTTGTTGTAGAATATTCTTCTGTAAAGTCCTTTTTTGTAAGTGAATCTGTAGAAATTTTTGTATGAAATAGTCTGTGAAATACAGTTGTAAGCAGCCAAGTGAACCTGTGCAGTGGTGATGCTTCCACAAAGCATTGTATTTGGGGAGCTGGGGTGCCTTCAGCCAACCCTTGATGGATAGTCTGTACTGATTGAGCTGTCGCTGCCATATTGATGACATTTTGTTCCACCTCGTCTAAGTGCCCAGCATCTCTTGCCCCCCTCCTTGCTTTGGGATACTGGTAGTGACATGTGTGAACAGTCCAGCTTCAGGATGTGACGATGCTGGGTGGGTGTCATCCAGCCCCCAGCGGCTGGCCTGCATCAGCGCTGGTAGGGAGCGGGTACTAATTGCTAATGCTCCCGTAGCTGAGATCATGCAGGATCAGCAGCCACTTTGGATCACATAAAGAGTCCGATTTTTATGGTCGCACTGTAAATGGAAACCGAACCGGGCTGGTATGGTGCAATGTGCGGTCGGGCCAGCATGTGGATCGTACCCGGACAACCTAGCCCAGTAAGTTTACATAAACTTAATTGATTGTGTGAGGTTTCCGTAGCACATAGATGTGAGAGAATTGGATTCTGTCCCTGTTGAGGTTTTACAAAAAGGCTGGCCTGCTGCCTCATGGTGGAATATAGTAGTGCCAGAAATCTTTATCTCCCTCTCACCTTCAGCCTAGTTTCTCATCCTGACATGTAAGGGTTTTTACCTGCCATATTCTGGTTTCCACTTGGCCGGTTTAGCCAAGCGGCTAGTTAATACGGTGTAACTAGTCATGGCTGGCTGGAGCCTCAATTGGGCATAGTGGGCGGAGCCTCCACCTCTGTGGTGGCGTGATCAACCGGTGTTCCTTATTCCTTAATGGTCTTATGTCTCTTCCTCCCTTGACAGGAAGCTGCTAACGGTGGAGCAGGACGGAGCAGACGAGGCCTGGCGCCAAGAGCACACATTCCTATCATCGACTGGAACCATGGTGAGTGGGCTGTACCTCTTTGTGGGGTTCGGGGTTCTCACTGCTGCCACCAGGTGGGGGATTGTGTGTCGTACTTCCACCTTGTCTGGCTTCTGCAGCTTGCTGTTCACCAGCTACTGTCACTAAACTTTTAACACTAAACAGAATTTCTTTGTATGCATACATTTATGTATGCATGTTTGCATTTGGACTTGTCTGTAGCTGAAAAAAAATAAGAAATAGATTTTTTTGTCTTATTGCATCCAGTCCGTCAAACACCCGATATTAATATCATTTAAGACCCCTACATAAGCCTCTCTCAAAAACATTTCTGCCGCGATGCCCCAGATAGCTGAAGCACGGGAACTTCACGCCATCATAGATCGCAGGAGGGGAAACACATGGGTAAACACTGCCCAAAAGCAGATTTCCTCAAAGGACCAGTCGTGTGAAAGCCTGAGGTGGTGCCCCCTAGTGGCGGAAGTGGAGTAAGGCACAAGGAATGTGCAGCTCTGCTGTGTGGACTGGTGGCTTTTGGATACTGTCGCATTTTTGCTCCAGTGGATTTTTGTGGAAATTTGTATTGATTATACCATTACGAAAAAAAAAAAAGAAATCCGCTTTTGTGGTTCCTGGCTGAAGCATAAATGCAAAAACTGTCAAATTACAAAATGTCACGTCTTTAGAATATTTGGGACATCCCTGGAGCAGCAGCACTAATGCTTATCCTCTTGGCTATTTTATTATGAGCGACCTGACGTGAATCCCATGACGTTTTTATCTGCAGACCAGCTGTGATTTATGCTACACCTCGCTTAATTTGTTGGCTTTCCAGCAGGGAACCCGTGGAATAATAAACATGGCGCTCCATTTGTGTTCTGACGCTAAAAGGAATTCTAAGTGGCTAACAGCCCAGTGACTAACTGCTTTCCAGCCAGTAGAGACAGTGTAGATGTTGTTGATGTGTACTGATAGCCCCCTGGCCCGCCAGGTGTGTGCAGTTTCTCCCCAGGCTGCAGGGGCTGAGAGAAATGAACAGTGAGAGATGGAGGTATAGCATTCCCCACTGGGCTGGCTTTGGTCCGGGAGCTGGGGACATATCTGAGGTCCCTGCTCCTGTGATAGTGTTCCTTTGCGCAGCACTGTCTGGGTTCCTTTTCCAGGTGTTGGCCAGACAGAAATAGTAGCTGGATAAATTATTCAGATTCATTTGCTTTTTCCTTTTATGTCAGCAAAAAAGTTGACAACGGTGATATGTGAGGGAGAGCTGGATGACGTCTGGCCCCACTGGATGTCACGGCCAGTGGTGTTGGGCTTTGGCGGGTTCGGCTTATACCGGGAAGGACACAAACGTGAGCAGGGGTTTAAGCTTTTATAAAGACTTCATGTCATGTGAGAGACGTGGATGATTGATCAGTCCTCTACAGTTATCGCAGCACATCCTAGATGGTCTGGACTGAAGTAAAGAGGACTCTGTTTTTCTGAGCTTCTGGGTTCGGCGAGTCAGCAGAGTGCAATCTGTCTGGACCCCACGTTGTTCCGGGGTCGGTGGTCTGGCAGGCAATTGGCAGAAGGATGATTGATTTGAGCTATTTCTGGAGTTGCCCCCACCCCTAACATGAGTCAGTTTGCAAATGGGCATAAACCCAGGGTCTTGGTTACATGGATCCCTAGCGGGTGCTGGCGTTTGGGATGGCAAGCATCAGGGAAGGTGTTTTGCATTTAGAGTAAGTAGGGGGTAGGTGGGTGTGATCTCCCAAAGCACTCGGACATTCAAGTCCCTAGGCGGCACTCATTTCCAAATATAGAGGAGCCGGGCTGCCAGCCCCTGGGGAGTAAAGTCAACGGTCCATCTTCAGACCAGGCAGTGTTGTCCAGCTGCCATGGAGACGGAAAACCGCCTCGATCCGGTTCTGTAACCGTCTTGTCGACCTGTGCTGTTTTCAGCGGGCATCGGGTAGTCAGGGTACCCCTGGAACCCGGCAGTACTGGGGCATGTCCGGTGTGCTCTCCCCCTTCAGCTTTCCAGACCGTGATTCACCAAGACTGATTCTGTTGGGATCCCTGACATCATCATGTCTGGGTCTTGAAGATGAAGGTCGGACTCCACAGGGCATCTGTATGAATATGGGTCGATACACCTTCTGACGAGTTGTGGCGGGGGGCACAGATGTTGGTGCCTCACGGTCGCAGCGAACTCGGTGTCGTGCTGCTTGGCCATCCCAGCTCGACCATCTGGAGGCGCCGGACCTCCGCAGCACGGCGTGTCAGTGCAGTCTGCCCAGGCAGTGACTCATTGGGGTGAGGAAAGGAAAGAGCAAAAGGGAGAGAGAGATCTGAGCAAGAGATGCTGTAGAATGCTGTGTCACTGTAGCCCTGTGCATCACTTCCCTGCGCCCCCCCCCCCATCCTCTCACAACGTGACCGCTTGTTGACATGAGCAGCTCCGCCCCCCCAGCACCGCTGCAGACGGCCACGGGGCGTGAGAGGCAGCCGCAGCCTCCTCCCTCTGTTCGTATGCAGCATTTGCAGATCCATGGGGCCCCCTCCCCCTGTCGAGCGCCTGCAGGGAAACCTCCGCCTTCCTGCTTGTGCCTTCCACACGGCAGCCTTGTTGTCGGGGATGCGGATTGGGTGGGGGGGTGGGGAGGGACCGGGCAAGAAAGAGAAGGAGCTTGTGAGATAAGGGGAGGGGAAGGGGTGGAGCTTACCTCTGAGCATCCCGCCCAAAAGCTGTGCGTCCGTCTCCGGCTCTGTCCACGTCCTTCATTCGGTACGCCGTGGCCAGTACACCTGCTTCTGCTCCGTCCTCCTTTGCGTGTAACGAGGGGGGGTGTCCTGCCTTGTCGCATAGCAGCCCGAAGCAACTCTACACTCTCCCGAGCCACGCAGGCGACCTCCAGACGGATTCTTTTGTTTTCTTTTTCCATTTTTTTCCTTTTGCCTGCCAGGTGGATGGAGGATTTGAGGAATTAAGGGGTGGAGGTTTTGCAGCTGTGCCTGCCTGCCTGCCTGCCTGTCTGTGTGTGGGGTGGGGGGGGATGCTGCTGCACGGAATGATGCTCTGGCCGGTGCTACGTGTCCCGGTTCTGCTGCTGCGTTGGCTGCTGGTCTCTCCGGTGAAGCCCATCTCCCCACCATGAGCCTGGCTGCCCGTGTCTCCTGCTCCATGCTGAACTGCTTTGTGAGTGCCTCTCTGTCTCTTTCTCTCTCTCTCTCTCTCTCTCTCTCTTTCTCTTTCTCTCTCTCTGTTTCTGGCTGTCCTGTTCTGTGAGAAGTGGGGGAGGTTGTTGTTTGAACATGTGAGTACTGCAGGCTGTTAATTAGTAAAGTAATAACTGCACCTCAATCGTGCACTGTCTATCTCCAAGCCCCCCCCCTCCCCCCATCAAACTGACTTTGTGGTTAGGTGTGTAGGTCTCCATGGTTCATATCCTGAAAACAGTTGGGTGGGTGGGTTTTTTTGTTCTGGCAGCTGGAAAGGCACATGAAGGTGTGGTACAGTGTCACTTAAAGTGCTTTAAGGCGATGGTCCTTTTTTAAAAAAATTGCAAATTTTTAAAGGCAGTAGTCTTTTTTTAAGGTGAAGCTGATTTTTAAAGGTGATAGTCCTTATTTTAAAGGTGACACTGATTTTTAAAGGCAATAGCACCGCAGGATGCATGTTAATTCATTCTTTGCATTTAACGATGAGGCTGGATGGTACGGTACAGAGAGTAACCCACGCTAAGAAGGACAGAGAGTAACCCACGCTAAGAAGGACTCTGTGTCATCTCTGCATGCCTGCCACTGGCACAGTGTGTGCTGTCCTCTGACCCCCCCCCCCCAAAAAAGAAAAAAAAAAGGGCAGGAGCCTGATCGTTATGGATCCAGGAAGTGTTTGGCCTTCTAAAGCCAGCAGTAATAACAGCTTGGGTGACATCCTGACAGCCAGCCTCCTGTAGCCGCCCCTTACAGGCACAATTGTGCAAGATGGAAGGTACTGTACCAGAAATGTTCATTTGCGGCCCCAAATGCCCTTCTCAGATCTGTGCTCTATAGCATTAAAATTCTGCTGGTGGTGCTGTCAGTTTCACGGTATTGTCAGGAAGGGTGTGATTTGGGGGGGTTAAAGTTAGGGTTAGGTGTGGCTGTCACACAGGCCTGGGGGTCCTCAAGCAGGCCCCCTCAGTCAGATTGTTTTATGGGGACCTGCTCTTGGCTGCTCATACTGTGACAGTGATCTATTATCAAGCCCGCTAATGAATGGCAGCTTTGCATTACCGCCGTTCACATTCTTCTGTGCCCGGTAGGCTGGCCAGGGGACCGCTGCACCCGTTAGCGCTTACCCAGACATCAAGACTAGCAGCATGCTACCCGCTGGGGTTCCGGGTGCAGTCTGCTTGGAGATGGATGGCCCATCATTTCCTGCCAGTTTCTCATCGAGTGTGTGGCTGCCTCCCACCCCCGGTTTGGGGTTCAGGGGTGACCTTATCTGAACGCTAGCACCAAACTGCCAAAAAGGAACCTCACCCCATTTTGAATCTTTTCCGGGTCACGTTCTCCCTGATCGGTTGCCATATTGCATGTTGATTTAGTTGCCCCCCACAGCAGGGGAGCCGAGTCTGTCGCTTGGGGGGTGGGGCTTCAGGCAGCCCAGACCCCATCTGTCCTTTGTGGCAGTGACGCTGTCCCTAACACTGTGCTGTCTACAGGCTCTGCACAAAGGCATTGATCACAGCCAATCGGACCCCCCCCCCCAACCCCATGATGTTGAGTCTTTTTTAGTGGTAATTCTGTATCTGTAAATAATGGCCTCCGTCTCTGGGGGGGTCTCTGCCCTGGCCTTGACGTAGGTTTTTCCTTCAGCGTTGTTGTCTTGACTCCATGTGACTTGATTTTAGTGATGCTGCTCAATGGTCATTTTGTGAAGTTGCATCCTCGGCTGCTTTGGGTTAAAACGTCGACCATTTGAATAAAATCCTAGAGTCAAAATCTGCACCAAACTGCCCCCCCTAAACATGTTAAATATAGCAGCTAAA